GCCTATAATATTAAGGGTTACAAAAAATCATTTCCAGAGACACATGATGTGCAATGTTTGTCGCCAAAAGTAAGTTTCCTAGGCTTCAATCAGTTGTTGTTCCCGTCCTGTGTATTATTTCTTTCAAAAAATAGTTTTGAGGAAACTGCTTAGTTTATCTAGTCATGTTGTTCGCTGTGTCTGTAAACTTGAGGTCATATGAATTTCTCCCATTTTCTACTTCTGTTTCTAAGAACATATATATTGCAGGTCGAAAAGCAATGTAATGTGTATCAGTATGACGCCTTTGTCTCAGTGCTTGACAAGCCAGTCGATTCATCTTGGAAGAAATCAGTACAAAATGATAAATATGCACCTTCTCAAGGTATTATGTACTTCTATTTTATTGTTCTTTCATCTTATAAGTAACATATATTACATGGTCAGCAGTAAAACACTGCTCATAACAATTTGAACAACATAATCAACATTTTTGCTCATTGACAAGGAAGAAACATATCACAATATGGTTTTGTGAAAATTCTAAATTTATTTTCCTTGCATGCAGATTGTTTCCCTACCCATAATAGCAAGAATTCTAATGGGTTTAACAATCAATTTGTTGGTGGAATCATGGCCTTAGTAATGGGAATTGTAACCATGATCCTTATGACATGTAACTTGCCAAGGAAAATAACTGAAGCAGCACTCTATAGCAGACAAGCATATTATGATGGGACTACGATGAAAGCACCTGCAATTTCAAGCAAGGAATACACGACAACGATGAAAGCGCCTGCATTTTCAAGCAATGAATACATGACAACGATTAAGCGCATGGCTGAACTAGAAGAGAAAATGACTGTTCTCAGCTTGAGACCTGTCATGCCACCCGAAAAAGGAGGAAATGCTAAATGATGCTCTAAACAGGGTCAGTACTCTCGAACAAGAGTTGGCTGCAACCAAAAAGGTATTATTGTTTTTCCTTGATACTTGAATCAATGCCATCATTATTTGGGGAATAAAATAAAAGATGATAAAACATCTTCCACTAGATAACTACGTGTGCGCTAACATTTTTGGAATTTAATTTGCTTCCTATTTGGGGTTTAGGCACTTGATGATGCCCTTGCTAGACAAGTAGAACTTCAAGCTCAAATTGATGAGAAGAAGAAGAAGAAGAAGAAGAAGAAGAAGAAGAAGAAGAAGAAGAAGAAGAAGAAGAAGAAGAAGAAGAAGAAGAAGTTGGTATGTCATACCTGCCATGCATTCCTATAAAAAAAATTATATACTATCGAGTGCTTTTGTTCACACACATTTTTGGGTTTGTGATTACAGTTCCGCTTCCACTGGTAAAGATGATAGGTGTGCTTTGTTGTGTGACCTTCAAATATTTAACATCCGCGCGACACAATCCCTCAAGCATCTGAGACAATTTGTGGGAAGGATACTCAGTTTGTCTATTCATAAGGATTGACTTCCCAATAATATACTTTTTTATTTATTTTTTGGAACGGTACTAAACCCCATGTTTTTGGAGGCTTTCTATACCCTCGAATGCCTATTGCATTTGGTTATTTGGTTTACTAGGGGTATTCATTTATATGTATTATTAGATTATTTATAATCTTCTTAAAAAACTATGAACTTTTGATAGCATGGTATAAATTTTCGTAAATAGTATTCAACATTAATTTGTAAATCTGGCTATTACTATGATTACACAAGATTTATAAAAATAAAAATATCCTATATGTTTGAAATAAACTACCGATGCACTATTCTTTGGAATGTATGTCCCGAGATTAGCAGTGATACACTCAATAGTCAATACTAACATCCACGATATTTGCCAAAGAAAAAGAACAACGAAAATAAATAAATCAATCAAATCTATAATTATAATAAATCAAACAACTTTTTTATGTAAAAGTGATTTTCAGATCATACATCCAAACGTAAAATAACTTTACCTTTTAAAAAAAGTTATTTAAAAAAAAGCAATGCATAAAAAGTTATTTTTTAAAAAGCTCATCCAAACGGGCCCTAATTGCATCAATTACATTTTTAAAAATCATATTAACAAGCATTAAACTACTTTTGATTGAATTTGATGTCGTAAGTGCATAGAAAAATAGCTAAATAGAAAGTTATGATACGATAAAAGAGTGGAAATAGTGATCAGTTATAATTATAATTATCAAAATAATAAAATTCAACTCCTAAGGTCATAAGCACGCTTTTATATACTAATTATAAATTCATCCAAGATTCTAAATTCTAAATCTAAAATAAGAAAATTTTCTAAAATAAATATAATGATAATTAACTTCTAAAAATAAATAAATAATCACAATTAAGTCATTCAAAACACAACTGTGTTGTTTTCCTTTTTCTTGCCAAACAAATCTCAATCATGTCTGCTGCTTCATTTGACCTTGAATTTGATCGCAATTTGTTATATTTCAAATTATTGCTTCTTTTAATAATTGGGCCAAACTTATTAGGCCACAATTTTGTTTGACTTCAAGCTTCTTGAATAAATGGTTAAGTAAGGTACAATGAGCTAACTGTAAGTACATTATAATTACTTAAATTTAGAACCATATAAAAAATTATACTTTTACATCAAATCACTTTCCATCAATAGCCACGTTTTATTTTTATATTTACCGAAATCCAATCATATTTAATTTTATTTCCATCAACATTATTAATAAATCAAATTTAAAGGATTTTTTATTAGGTGAATTGATTATATGAAGTGAATTAATAATTAATCAAATGTAATTTTACTATAGTGGAAATGAGTGATCAGTTATCATAATAGACATGCTTGAGGTCACTAGAATGCTAAATAAATTAGCGACAACCCAAAAAGGGATAAAAATTAAAAAAAAATTGACCATAACAAAAATAATAATGATAAGTATAGGGTTCACAATGATGGCTTAATGTACAGAACACAAGGAAGCAAGAGTTCTAGCTCATATTATCCAAGTTTGACAGTGGCAAGGTCTCTTATTTGTTTTCCCTCTCCTGTTGCGAGTGGCATGGATGACGTTTTCATTTTAGTGAGTAGTAGCAGCCATGAAATCTGGACTTAGTGGTGCACCATATTATCCTTCCACCACCCAGCTCATATCTCAATTATTCAAGTAATTAACAAGTGGAATCGCTACTTGTTAATTCAAGCAAAAATCACATAAATTTAATTTCATTTAATCTATCAAAGAAAAGAAATGCTACACACACAAAATTAAAATTAGATTAACAAAAATATATAATATATATGTATAGGGGACGGTTATACTTACCACCAGGTAAGTTTACCACCTTTACAACCAATCTCCTAACCGTTAGATTAAAATTAAATCTAATGGTTCATAATTATCCCTTATAATCCTAATTTTTTCTCTCATATTTTCTCTTTGTCTTTCACTTTCTATGTTTGGGAATCACCTCTCTCATCCTCTCTTCCACTGTTGTGCGCTTTCGAAATCTAATCACTGTAACAACTCTGATTTTAATTCCACTGTTGTGCGCTTTAGACATTTTCTAATGAAATTGTTTTGACTTAGACATCAAATCACTGTAACAACTCTGATTTTAATTCCACTGTTGTGCGCTTTAGACATTTTCTAATGAAATTGGTTTGACTTAGTCTATAAAATACCCATTAGGTGATGAGATTCTCCAATGAAATTGGTTTTCTAATCACATATTTCATCAAATCAACACAAGTCTATAAAATACCCTCCAATGCGAATTATACCCAGCTTTGCGAATCATAGATATGCTCCGGTGGCGCTACACATTTCAAGCAAGGGGCACCTGTATACATATTTTCTCATTTTCTTTTTCTTTACTGTCCATGATGTTGATGTCGATAATTTATCAATTATTTTATTAATTTTTGTGGATTCTTAACAACTATTAATGAATATACTTCTTTCTGGAATTGTATTGATTACTTTAAGGTTGTGATGAAATAGTAGGATTAGCCATATTTTGTTAGCAGTGTCGTCGATTCTCAAACCTTAATTGTATCGATTTCAAAATAATATAACAACTATTAATCTTAATTGTATCGATTTCAAAATAATATAACATATGAGCATACCAAAATAATATAAAATATTTTTGCTGGAATTGAAGATTAAAGCACTGTAACAATAAAGAGAGGACGAGATAGTTGATTCCCAAACCTAGAGAGAGAGACAGATAGGGGATGAGAGAGAAAAAATTGGAATTATAAGGGATAATTATGAACCATTAGATTTAATTTTAATCTAACGATAAGGGTGGTAAACTTACCTGGTGATAAGTATAACCGTCCCTCTATATATATATATATATATATATATATATATATATATATATATATATGTTTAGTGGATGCACAGTGGCTGCATCTCAGGATTAGTGCAGTCATATAAAATTACGTCGATTTATAGTGTGAAAGAATTATATATGGAGAATTTTTATTTTTTTTTGTAAATTTATATATGGAGAATTAAAACCATATAAAGGTGGAAATAAAAATAAAGCATTAAATATGAGAAATCATAACCATACAAATGTGGAAATAAAAATAATATTTTTATTTTCTACAATTAATTTTGAACGCGAATTTCCTTTATCCCACCCAAAATGATGTAATTTTTAAGTGACTGCACCAATGTTTATATACAGTCACATTACAAATCATTTTGCCTATATATATATATATATATATATATATATATATATATATTCTTATAATATCATCCAAATGTCAAACGGGTAAAAATGAATCAACATTAAAGTTGTTACCATTATAGCATTAATGTTAGTTAGAATTGTAATTATCATTAATGCTACAATTGTAACACATTATAATCATAACAATTTTAATGTTGACTTAATACTAAAGTTAGAATTGTAATAATCATTAATGCTGTCATGGTAACGTATTAAAATCATAACAATTTAATTTAATGTTGCGATAATGCTATAATTGTAAACCTCATTATAACACATTACAATCGTAACAAAAACGGAGAGAAAAGTTGGTACGGTTGCATGGAATAAATATGTGATTGTGAAGCAACGGAGTGGCTTAGATGTCTGCTTGCCTCTCTTAGCAACTGAAGCTGAAAAAGAGTCATCACATGAAGACCCTGTCAAATGTCAATGCCAAATTACAATAAATAAATTAAAAAAAAAACGGAAAACTCTAAAACTGTATACTATAGTTATACCCAGGGGAGTAAATGGGCTAGGCCGGCCTACAGGGACCTACGGCCTAACTTATATTAAACCAGGCTTAGCCTGTTAAAAATAGTAAAATAGAATAGGCCTAGGCATTTTAAAAAACCTATTTAGAAAATAGGCCATAAGTTTTTTTTTGTACATATCGGGTTTATAAACCTACAGACCGGCCTATATCATATTATTTATTTTAAATAAAATAAATAAAATTACTATTTCAATAATTTTGAATAATAAAGTAATATTATTTTAGTTATTTTTTTAATTATTGAAAATTTAATAGGCTTAAACAGGCTAACAGGCCTAGGCCAAGACTTTTATTTTTTAAATATAGGTCATGCCACATGTATAATTTGGGACCTACACAAGTTAACAGGCCAGGCCAGACTCAATATTTTTTATACAGGTTTGGCCTATTTAAGTCAAAGTCTAGCCTAACCTATTTATACCCCCGGTTGGCCTTCCTAATCCCATTGTGGCCCGCAACTTTCAGAGAATTACTCGGATAATATATTTGCAGTCTTCTCTTCGTTTTGCAACCCCTACATTCCTGTATCAAGGTATCTTTTCATCTCCTAAGATTCTATCTTCTTCTCCTCCTTCATTACCTACCAATATGCATGTATGATATGTTGATATCCATTTTGATGCCATTTTAGCGTTTTTATTTGCTTGAGCTGCATTTGATTAAGATTTTGCACTTAAAATATTTAGGAAGTCTTAAGTTTTCAATGATAATATATTTTACTAATGATACATATACGGGTATTCATTTATTTATTTTTGGATTACTAGGGGTATTCATTTATATGTATTATTAGATTATTTATAATCTTCTTAAAAAACTATGAACTTTTTTTTTTTTTTTGTAAATAAAGAGGGGCTAAGCCCCAGAAACAGAAAGAAATTACAAATCAGGAACTAACAAGCTAGACATATTTCTAGCATCAGCAACTATAAGTTCCATCAACTCAGGAGGAGGATCTTTAAAAATCTTGAAATGGAGATTATTAGTCTGCCCAGCTTTAGCTAACCAATGAGCACATTTGTTGTTTTCTCTCTTGGTATGAACAAGATGAATAGTCCAATCTGCTTTTAACCATAATCTTAATCTGCTAGTGACTTGAGAGTCCCTAGGATCTTCATGCTTCTCCTTTAACATCTGGATGGCTTGGCTAGAATCACATTCTAGCTCTATTCTTTTTAATCCTGTTCCCCAAAGCAGTTCCAAACCTTTCAGTAATCCCCATAATTCTGCATCAAGAGGATTGCAGGAACCTAAATTACAATAGAAGCTCCCCAAAAAGGATCCATTGTGATCTCTTAATATACCACCACAACTAGCTTTTTTCATGCCACTAGAAGAAGCTCCATCACAATTCAACTTAACCCACCCTTGCTTGGGGGCTGTCCAAACGCTATCGTTGGAATCACCACGGCGCTGATAAATTCGGGCTTGCAGAATCTGTTGGACAAACATCCAAATTGAAGCCTGTGATTGCTCATCATGACAGAAATGATCTTCGTGGATCTCCAAATTTCTCCACTTCCACAAAAACCAACAAGTAGTAAAGAAAATATCCCTCCAATCCTTCACTTTATTGGAGGACCACATGTTATCGATATTTAAAGTCAACCAATCCTGCAAATTCGAATTCATAAAGGAATTGGGTATCGAACCTGTAAACCAAGATTGCCAAATTTTCCTAGCATGTCTACAATCACGAAGAACATGAATAATAGTTTCCTCATGATTTGGACAACTGGGACAGACATTTGAACCTCCGCTCCACTTACTGGTTCTGCTGCGCACTGAAAGTTTAGCAAGCAAAGTCATCCACATAAACACTTTCACTCGTTCTGGTCCATTCCACGACCAAACTTTTTTCCATAAGCTAGTGTGAACATCTGCTGGTAAGTTCATAAGATTACAATAAGCGACCTTAACCAAAGAAGTTGAGTGATGATTATTGATCCAAACTAATCTATCCTCCCCATTCCTTGGAATAAGCCTGAGATGATTTGTTACTGCATCAGCCAAATCTGACTCCAGAAATTGATGATCAACTTCAAGACGGAAACCATCATCCACCATGTAATCTGCAATTGATTTCTGACTCTCCTCCCACGGCACCTGATTGCTCGACAACTGCTGCAAATTTTCCTCCCATCCCAACCAGTTATCAGTCCAAAGCTTTACTTCAGAACCATCTGCTATTTCCCATCTAAGACCAGCAAGGAAATTACTCCAACATTTAGCAAGATCACGCCAAAGTTTAGAGTCATATGATTTTGCCTTTATACCTCTCCTTAAGTCTTGACCTCTACCATACTTGGCTACTAAAATCTTAACCCATAAATCATCTTTCTTAGTTAACACCTTCCACGCCAGTTTATGAATATAAGCTTCATTTTGGAGTCGAAGGTTAATTATTCCCAAACCACCTCTAACTTTGGGTTTATACATTTGATCCCAAGCTACTAAATGAGCCCGCCTTCTGCTATCCTGATCTCCCCAAATGAAAGCCCTTTGTATCTGCTCAATTTCATCACAAAACGTTACTGGTAAAAGACCATTCTGCATATGGAAAGAAGGGATTGCAGCAATGACCGATTTCACCAAAGTAACTCGACCAGCAAAAGAAAGGCAATGGCTTTTCCAACCATCCAGTTTTGAACGTATCCTATCCTTGATAGCTCCATAGTCTGCTTTAATATATCTCCCTTGTTTAACAATAGAGCCTAAATATCTGCCAATACTAGAAGTGCGCTTAAAGCCCATTCTGTTGACAATCCTTGTAGCAACTTGAGTATCAGTATTCGGGGAAAAATAAATCAAAGATTTATTTGCACTAACACTTTGCCCCGACATCTCACAAAAGAGATTAATACAATCCATAATCACCTTAGCTTGCTCCATATCTGCTTCCGCAAAGAGAATGATATCATCTGCAAATAAAAGGTGGGATACACTCGGCCCTCTTCTGCAGACTCTAATAGGCTTCCACGAACCCATAGTCACTTTTTCAGCGATCAAGTGGGAAAGCTTCTCAACACACAACACAAAAATATAAGGAGATATTGGATCCCCTTGACGAATTCCTCTCTGAGGAACTATGCAATCCGAAGCCACACCATTTATCAAGACCCTCGAACGATTAGAAGTTATAGAAGCCATTATAACACCAATCATCCAATCAGGAAACTGAACTTCAATAAGCACTTTATAGATAAAACTCCAACTGAGTTTATCATAAGCTTTTTCAAGGTCCAGTTTGATTGCCATTGTACCTTTCTTTCCTTTTACTCTCCCCATAGAATGAACCAGCTCCTTTGCTACTATAATATTATCTTGAAGCTGACGATTTGGCACGAAGCTAGCTTGGTAAGGAGAAACTAAATTCTCCATTGTAAGCTTAAGCCTATCCACAATGATCTTGCTCATACCCTTATAAATGACATTACACAAAGAAATAGGTCTGAATTGAGAAACATACATTGGCTTAGGAACTTTGGGGATCAAAGTGATCAGAGTACCGTTGACTTCCTCAATGCTGGAAGGGTTTTCTGCATAATACTTGATATCTCTCCAAATCTGTTCACCAATAAATTCCCAGTTCTTTTTGTAGAATGCCGCGGTATAGCCATCCTCCCCTGGAGCTTTCGAATCTTTCATAGAAAAGAAAGCTCGTCTGACTTCATCTTTTGAAATTGGAGCACCTAAGTTAACAACAGTCTCATCGTCCACCTTTGGCCAAAGAGTCTGGACCCAAGGACGATCATGGTTTTCTTCAGAAAATAGTTTAGAGAAGTAAGCATTTATTACCCGTGCAATGTTGTGATCTTCTCTAATCAAGTTTCCAGCATCATCTTTCAACTGCTCCTTCTACGTCTAACAATTGTTTTCATATGATAGTACTTTGTATTCCTATCTCCTTGAGCTATCCAAGTAGCACGAGACTTTTCAAACCACAAAAGTTCCTCCTGTTCTAAAACTTGTTCAAGTTCACCCCTTATCTTGCCTTCAATCTTTTCCAAATGGCTTTTATTCTGCTCAGAAATTGCCCTCTGGATACCTTCAAGCCTACCAATCAACCTGTTCTTCTTATGATGGATATTACCAAACACATCTTTATTCCACTGCTTAATAAGAGGAGTGAAATCACGAAGACTATCAACTGTTCTTTGATCCTGACGCCAGTTTTCCTTGATGAAATTGTTAAAAAATTGATGATCCAACCAAAAAGAATGAAA